CTTGACTTAAAGCCTCAGTGAGGCAGAAACACATGCACACACAAAAGATACCACTTGGTTTATCTTGCCCATGTAATTGTAACCCCTCTGTACAGTATCTTCACAATAAAAAAATAAAAATAAAAGAAAATCACATGGTGAAGTCAGAGTGGTAGCACACATCTATGATCACAGCACTCAAGTTTAATAAGAAATCCCTTTATATTTGTAGTTTATTAAAGCTTTTTCAGTTTAGTCTAAAAAGTTACCTGATCACAATCCAGCAGGCTTCTTGCCACAAATCTGGGGTGATTTCATCATCATCTTCATCATATTGCATATCTGGGAAAAAAAAAACTACTATATTCATCTGCAATAAGATGCTACCAGCTAATATACTATCACTTGAAATAACAAAAACATATTTTGTGAGTAAAAAACAATCCTTTTATCCATTCTTCTAAAGTATCAGCCAATTCCATAAAAAATAATACATAAACAACAATAATGTCTGTGCCTAATATATAAACAAGATTTCAATGTAAGTTGTATAAATTTGTAAGCATCAGGACTACTAATAGATACAGAGGCAAAGAGAGGAATTAAAAATGAGGATGCTACTATTCACAAGATGGAGGAAACAGGAGATAATGGCTTTAAAGGCAAATAGATGAAAACAGTGAGCTCAGTTGGGGCAATGAAGAGTCCAGGGGCTGGGAAGGTGGCTCAGTGGTAGAGCACTTGCCTTGCATGCATAAGGCCCTGAGTTCGATTCCCCAGCACCTCATAAGCAAAAAGAAAAAAAGCCAGAAGTGACACTGTGGCTCAAGTGGTGGAGCGCTAGCCTTGAGCTGAAGCGCTGAGGGACAGCGCCCAGGCCCAGAGTTCAGGCCCTATCACCTGACTCAAAATAAATAAATAAATAAATAAAAATAAAGAGTCCAGTAAGACACCCCGGTTGTCTAGTAGCAGTTAAGTTATAAGGGCATTTGAACTGATAATATATTCATAAGCCACCCACTTGTAGACAGTAACACTGAAACTATGAAGAATGATTGCCCCAGAAACAATGTGAATAGTGTAACAGAATGAAAAGGTAAAAGGAACCAATTGAAATGATAAATAATGAGTTTCCAAGCAGGGCACTGGTGGCTCATAGCTGTAACCCTAGCTATTCAGGAGGCTGAGATCTGAGGACAGCAACTGAAAGCTAGTACAGGCAGAAAAGTCCATGAGACTCATCTCCATTTAATCACCAAAAAATCTGGGAGTGAAGCTGTGGCTCAAGTGGTAGTTCACTTGCCTTGGGCTTAAAAAAGCTCAGCCCCAAGACAGGCACAAATAATAATAGTAAAAGCTGGGCGCTGGTGGCTCACGCCTGTAATCCTAGCTACTCAGGAGGCTGAGATCTGAGGATCGTGGTTCAAAGCCAGCCCGGGCAAGAAAGTCCGTGAGACTCCTATCTCCAATAAACCACCAGAAAACCGGAAGTGGCGCTGTAGCTCAAGTGGTAGAGCGCTTGCCTTGAGCTGAAGAGCTGAGGG